TCTTGCCCTGTTGCCCAGGCTGCAGTGCAATGGTGCAATCTCGGCTCACTGCAACCTTCACATTCCGGGTTCAAGTGAATCTCCTGCCTCAGTCTCCTGAGTAGCTGGGATTACAGGTGCATGCCATCACGCTCAGTTAATTTTTTGTATCTTTAGTAGAAATGGCATTTTACCATGTTGGCCAGGCTGATCTTGAACTCCTGACCTCATGATCCGCCTGCCTTGGCATCCCAAAGTGCAGGGATTACTGGTGTGAGCCACCATGCCTGGCCTGGCTGTTATAATCAGTGAAGTTCATAGTAACACATTTAATAATATAACAATTTTTTTTTCTGGAGGAAATTAATCCTGATTTACCTTATTCATGAGAAGTGCTTGTACATTGTTTACAATTTTATTAACTTTTTTAAAGAGAAAAAAATTTTTGCTAATTATCTTATTTAGTAGGCATTTTACCTAAGTTAAATGAGTAAACCTGTAGTTTTAATATTTTGACAAATAGCATGAGATAACATGAAAACATTTTATCAAAATATGATGTATTAGTAAGAATGTACTAAGATTTGGGCGGCATGTGGCTCATGCCTGTAATCCCAGCACTTTGGGAGGTCGAGGTGGGTGGATCACTTCAGCCCAGGAGTTTGACACCAGACTGAACAACATGGCGAAACCCTGTCTTCACCAAAAATACAAAAATGAGCCAGGTGTGGTGGCGTGGGCTGTAATCCCAGCTACTCGGGAGGCTGAGGCAGGAGGATCACTTGAACCTGAGAGGCAGAGGTTGCAGTGAGCTGAAATTGTGTCACTGGACTCCAGCCTGAGCAACAGAGCTGGGGGCAGGGGGTGGGGGGAAGTACTAAGATCTTAAAATCTAGTTTTTTTATTGTATTCCTAGCCCTTTTGAGTATATCAGATTAAACAAAGTACCTCTATTTATTTTTATTTTTTAAATTTTTATTTTATTTTATATTTTATTTCGTTTTTGAGGCAGGGTCTGGCTGTGTTGCCAAGGCAGGAGTGTAGTGGCACCATTATGGCTCACTTCAACCTCGACTTCCTGGGCTCAGGTAATCCTCCGACGTCAGCCTCCAGAGTAGCTGGGACTACAGATGGACGCCACCATACCTGGCTGATTTTTGTATTTTTTGGAGAGATGGGGTTCCATCCAGAAGTCGTCTAAGCCCAGGAGTTCAAGGCTAGTCTCCAATCGCTGGGCTCAAGTGATCCGCCTGCTTCAGCCTCCCAAACTGCTTGGATTACATGTGTGTGCCACTGTGCCTGGCCTAAACAAAGTACCTCTAAATACTGCCCAAACTCCACATACACATAAAGTCAATTGCTAATTTTTAGTAAGAATCTTTTTGGTAAAGTTTGTAGAAAGGAGAATGTGAGTAATCTTTCTGAATAGAGGGCGAAGTCTCTTGCAAGTCAGGTGGTTTCCAATGTTTTGCAATCAACAAAACTGAAGGAGACCTAATCCACATGTTTGTCTCTTGAATTTTTATTTTTATGTTTTGAGACAGGATATTGCTTTGTCGTCCAGGCTGGAAAGCAGTGGTGTTGATCATGGCTCACAGCAGTCTCAACCTCCCGGCCTCAAGCAGTTCTCCCACCTCAGCCTCCCAAGTAGCTAATTAAAAAAAGTTTTTTTTGTCTTTTACTTTTTGCTGGGACTGAAATAGAGTTCTTATGTCAGCAATTAAATTCCAGATAAACTTTTTTTTTTTTTTGAGACAGAGCCTCACTCTGTCGCACAGGCTAGAGTGCAGTGGTGCGATCTTGGCTCACTGCAGCCTCCACCTCCGGGGCTCAAGTGATTCTCCTGCCTCAGGCTCGTGAGTAGCTGGGATTACAGGCATGTGCCACGACGCCCGGCAGAGATGAGGTTTCTCCATGTTGGCCGGCTGGTCTTGAACTCGTGGCCTCAAGTGATCCACCTGCCTCACCTCCCACAGTGCTGGGATTACAGACATGAGCCACTGCCCCTGGTCACATCCCAGATAAACTCTTTAAACAGTCTAACTGTGGCTCAGATCAGCACAGTGGCCTTGAGGGGGCTCTGTGAGTGGGAAAAGGAGAGGCCTGGCTTGCTGATTCCAAGGTAATGTGAGACTCCCTTGAGGAGCAGGGGAGGCAGGTTAGGACAGAGGGGAAGAGGGACTGAGGAATGCGAAAGACCATGGAGCTTTGACAAGCACATCCTGCTAAAGGGATCATTCAGGAAATATTTAAATTGTATTGGACGAATACTCCCTGATGAACACACACACACAGACACACACACACACACACACACACACACACACACACACATATTTTTCCCCCTTCCTTTCTGAGTAATTCAACCCAAAATACCCCCTACTTCTAGCCCACAGATCATTTTGGAAAGAAGACAAAAATAATTTACTTCATTTTCCTCTGCATTCCATCACTAATTACGAGTTCTTTTTCAAGGCAGCTATCTTGGCTCAAACGTAGGGCTGGGATATTCTTCTTCCTCCTTCTCCTCCTTCTCCTCTTTCTTCTTTTTATTAATACAGTATTTATTTGTTTTCCCTCTGTCGACATAGTCCCAGTCGTAGCCCCAGAGCCAGCCACCCCAACTGTGGCGGCCTCAGCTCCAGTGA